GTCGTCTGAACAATTTCAAAGGCTATAACAAATCAAAATGTTCCCTGCATCTAATATCAAACGGGGCTGATGCCAACACTTATTAGAGAAATCAGATTCAAGCTTCCCCATCCCCCTCGACCCACACACACACACACATACATCCAACTTTGAAGTGGGAAGAATGCGGGGATCAGAAATTACCCTGGAGACAGCTCTGGCTGTCTTTGAAGGTTCCCTTTGATACCACTATTTCTTTTCCTCTCTTTCGCTAGGAGGCTAAAAGCTGCCTTTTTTATTGATATGGGGTAATTAATGAAGCTATAGCATTAACATAACCTAAATCCCTTAATAAGATAAATTCAACCGAGACACTTATATTTTTTCAGTTAAGTCTGGTGGGTATAAAATCAGGACAATGGCCAGGTATTCAACTTAAATCTGCCTTTTAACATGCTGAGTCATGGCTCTCTGCACCTCCCTGGTTACAGTGAATAGCGGGTTGGTAAGTTTTAAAAGCATTTTTACATTTTATTAGAGGAATTAGTCTACTGGAGCTTGGTCTCAAAAATATGCATCCCAGGGCGGCCTGGGTGGCTCAGCAACTGCCTTCGGCTCAGGTCATGATCCTGGAGTCCCGGGATCGAGTCCCACATCGGGCTCCCTGCTCAGCAGGGAGTCGGCTTCTCCCTCTGACCCTCCTCCCTCTCATGCTCTCTGTCTCTCATTCTCTCTCTCGCAAATAAATTAAAAAAAAAAAAATCTTAAAAAAAAAAAAATGCATCCCAGGTAAAGAGGCAGACGATGAGCGTGGCAGTGGTGGCGGTTCCTGCAAAGTGCAAAGTGACAGCCTTGCTGGGATTCTGATGGGGGAAAAAACCTGCCAGGTCTGGAAATCAGGGTGCGGGGTGGTGGAGGGGGCGCCGGGCCACTACTGTAGCAACAGGGATAATTAAACCTTTCCGGAGGTGTTGGCTGCTTTGGGTTCAGCCCCCAGCAAGCTCAAGGCTTTCCAAGCCGCGCCCGCGTATCGGTGGCTTGAGCTCTCAGACTGCAGCAAATCACCCCCAGGCAAGTGCTCAGGCACTGGCTCGGCCAATGCAGACCTGCATGTCCGGAACAGCAGAATTGCAAGCAGCAATCTGCTCTTGAGGACCACACCTCAAGCTCCAGTGCCTCCTTCCAAAGGTTCATTTTGTTTGGGATGTGCTAGACATTTCAGCACGTTAATTACACTAAGGCTTACGTGTGTATAACTATATATAAATTCACATATACCAGCATCGGTACTCAAAATAGAACACTAATAATGTCTGCATGGTTTTGTAAAGTGCTCTGAAAAAAAGAAGGTGCTAATCAAATTGGCTAGGATTTGATTCTGGGCAGAGCGGTCGTTTAGAGAGCTCCTCTGCCAAATGCGGTTCATGTGCCTTTAACACAACAAACGCCTTGGTCTCTCAGTCTTGCTCTTCCCTGTTTTAGGGTCCCTGCTGACCACTTGGGCCAATGTGTGCAGCTGTAAAATGTAGCAAGAGGCCTCCTGTATCACATTTGTGATATGAATCATAGCAGAATTCAGGTTCCCAGACACACACTCATTTTCTTTCTGATGAACAGAGAGAGAACCCACGCTAATCTCTCATTAGGAAGATGCGCACCGTGTGCACATGAGTATGTGTCTCCTTCATTTTCTGCACTTATAACTACACTCTCGGCTGCTTCTTTTGGTCTTCGTCTCTGGTGTTTGGTTCTCCGCTTTTCCATTCCAGCTAAAGCACTGGCACATCCCAAGCAGGCTTCTCCACTGTCCCCTCCCACACAGCGCCGAGCTTCTCCAGCACTCCAGGCACCTGCGGCATCTCCTTGGGACAGCGTCACAGGACAGGGTCTGGGCCCTTGAGGTGCTCCTGGTAGATGGAGGTCTGAGGCCTAGTGGGGTGTGACTGCAGGCAAGTCACTGTACATTCTAGGTCTCAGTTGCCTTCTCTGGAGAACAATTCTAATTTAAGCAGAACCTAGGACCCGATGACCACTGTGGGCAAAGTTTGCTTAGCATGACGCCTACCAGGCCAACATACGGAGTACTCTTAGTGTTTTTATTAATTTCAAGATGGACATATAAACAAATAACCATGACATACTAATTCTAGTTCTAGAAAAAGATGGGTCAAAATGCTATGGATGTATTCAGGAGGAGGCTAATTTGTGCCACAAACAGACGCAAACCCAGGCCTGCCAGCTCGAGTCCGTGCTCGTGTAAGAGACCCCTGGGGAACCGGGGACAGGATGAGAAAGAGGATGGCAGTAAGCCAGGATGAAGGGAAGAGTTGAGTGTGTCAGGTGGACGAGGAGGACAAAGCATCTCAGGCCGAGGGCACCGAGGGTGCAAGTGAGTGAGAGAGTTGTGGGAGCCACAAACAGCACAAAAGGCTGGAGAGTAAGACAAAACGTGCTCACAGAATGACGTCAGCTGAGGTCAGAAAGGAAGGCAGGGGCCAGATCACCTGCATTTCTATGTGCTGCTAAGGAGTCTGGATTTTATTTTAGAAGCCAGGGTTTTCAGAAGCATGTTCTGAGAAATGCCAGTGTCACAATATACTGAGAGGAAAGGAAGAAATAATGAATTTGGGGTTCAAATAAGTTAGGAAAATACCGCACACTATATGCTCCTCTTAGGAAATTCACAGGACACTAAGCAAACTAAAGTTTCCAAGAATTTCTATAGTAAAGAAACCTACTGAACCTTCTCTAATCCTGTGTTTCTCAGACATTTTGACCATGGACCACTTTGTGTCTAATACCTATTAATATTCTACTTTCTTGCATGTTTTGGGCAACAGGGGATGGTGAAAGCAGGAAATCAGATGCTTGCATGTGTATTTTGGGAAGACCGCTCTGGAAGCCAAGTGAAGGACAGACTGTGGGAGGGAAATAACACTGGAGATGAGGCATGAGGTGGCCAGTGCACTTGTCCATTGAGAAATAAGGAGAACCTGGAAGAAGGGGAGACGGACAGGAGGAGCCCAAACTTGGGAGAGATGTAAACGGGAGAATCACCAGAACCCGCTGACAGACTAGATTTGGGGGAGGGGAAGGACAGTTTGAGCAATTAGGTGGTAGTACAGTTACCCCAGATGAGGAACAGCGGAGGGAAACTGAGTTTCAGGAGGAAGACGGTGAACGGAGTTTTGGGCAGGCTGAAGGTGAGGTGGAGCACCGGGGGAGGAGAGGTGCCACCTAGACACAGATCGGGAGTGATCTCTGTGGGCTGACACATGAAACCACGGTATGGGGTGGGGGCGTGGGGGTGGGGTTGGTTGGAAGCACCTGAGGGGGAGTAACCAGAGAGAAATCCTAGAAGCATACATATGTGACAATTTTCTAAATCCCTTGTTTTAAGTGCAGAATAAAAATAGTATTCGTTATTTACTGAGTGGGTAACTAGGTGGCAAAGTGCTAAGTGCTTTGCTTTACAGGTCTTAGGACACTTCTGTGTGGGGCAAATACAAAGTTAAAGAGATCATGCAAAGTAGGTAAACCCTCACTCCTTAGAATCTAACTTCAGAGAATGCTTCCTCCCTCTCCCAAGTTTGTACCTCTTGTCACACGGTCTCTACTGTTCCTTAGCTTTCTATGTTTCCAGCCTTCTCTCCCCAGTGCACCTGTGGGTCTCTGGAGGGCAAGGCCTGTGATTCATACCAGGTGTGACTGAGGAGTTGTGAACCTCGAACAAAGGCGACAAGAACCACACCTCTAAACGGCCGGGCCAGTGAGGCGTGAGCTCCTGGCTGGGGGTGTTTCTGCTGTTGCTCACTTGTCTGGAGCTGCTCATGAGAGGGGCCGCCAGGGTTCACAAATCATTCACACGAAGACCAGCCTGCCCCGGTGACGTGCTTTATTCTCCACAGCTGCTCTAAAGACACTTTGGTTTTTCCAAAAAGAAAACAGAAATCTCCCCTTGAGGAACACTCTGCTTTCAATGGGGAGATCTACGAGAACTTGGCAGAGTCCCTGAAGTAAGAGTAGCTTCCCTCGTTGACCACACTTGTGTGGGATGTGGAGATGCTGGGTTACTTGTTCAAAACACAAATCTCATCACTTTGTGGGTCACAGCTCTTACGTAGCACACTGTTATGTGCTAGGCTACATCTGTCACCTTTTTTTGAAGAATGTTCTATCCTCATTATAATGTGGCTTTTGGGTGGTGAGTGCTAGAACTATAGCAAACTTTAAAAATTGTAATGGGCTTCATGAAGAGAAGGGAAAGCTCAGGAGAGAGGGGCAGACAGAGGCTTGGTGCACGAAGTGGCCGGGGTGCATCCAGGTGGGTATCTCAGGCGGAGCGCTCATTACACTCTGGAAGCCAACAAATATGAAGGCTGTCAGCTCCCATTCACATCCTCTGATGCTCTCCATAGAGCCATATGGACAGTGTGCAGTCAAGAGAAATTAGGGGTTCACACGGGTGAACTTTCTATGAGACAAATCACCATGGAAAGAACTTCTCTTTTTTCAACTGCAGTGTTCAGTATGTACTCCTGAGGATAAGCCACTTCCCCAGGGCTCCTTGTTAGTTTCATAGGAAAAGATCCCGAGCAGGTTGTGTGTCAAAGTAACTCGAATTTTCCTCATGGTTCTAGGAAAAGCAAAATGCTGAAAATGCCAAACCCTGGGCTATTGATGTGCTATACTACTGGGTGGGAAAAAAAAAAGAACGAACGAAACCCATTTCCTCAGAAGACACATTTAATGAGGCAACTGAGGTCTAAGGTGATAAATTAGAAATTCAACTAAGGGCATCAGGCTTAAAGGAAAAAGCAGAAGCTTGATGAAAAATGCAAGGGGAGAGAGAGAGAAATGTTCTTCTGTAAAACGTTCATCTTCATACTGATAAACCATGCCTGTTGATCATTTCAGCTATGACTGCTAGTGTTTAATGTCATTCAACTGGGACTCCACTACGTTTGTTCTGGGGCACAGAAAATAAAGGAAAACGAAACAAAAGACTCCAGAATGCTTACCTTGCCATCTTCTGTGTAGACATTTTCACTATATCCCCTTACTATTGTTCGATCAATGAATAGGCTCCGCATGACGACAATCACTTTCAACACCTTTCCCAAGGTCACCTGTCAAAACACATGCATGCAAACATGAAAGCTTACACTCGAACATACAAATGCATGAGGCTGGGCAAGACTCTGTGAAGAAGAAAGGATCGCCTCTCCCTCTTGTTGCTGAGAGATGCATGGGAGGGCCCTCCGAGGGAAGGCATCCTAAAGTGTTCAGGAACAAGCTCTAAACAAGGCCCTCCTACAATCTACACTGAATTTATTTATATTTTTGGCTCATAAATCTCAGGATAAGTTCCATATGTTTAATATCTGCTGGATAAAGTAAAATTTCCTTTTATTTTTTTTTAAGATTTTATTTATTTGAGAGACAGCGAGAGCAGGAACACAAGCAGGGGGAGTGGGAGAGGGAGAAGCAGGCTCCCGCCGAACAGGGAGCCCGATGTGGGACTCGATCCCAGGACCCTGGGATCATGACCTGAGCTGAAGGCAGACGCTTAACGACTGAGCCACCCAGGCGCCCTATTTTTTCTGTCTTAAGATGATCAAAGGCTATCCTAGGATTCTGGCATCCTAGGATTTGGTAAGCACATTTGTTTTCCTATTATTTCATGGCCCTACGTACACCCATGGAATATGTAGAAGAATACAGCAGAGAGATTAAAGGCAGGCACCAAACACCCACCCGGCTGAACTATCTATTTATAATAGCTCAGTGTAAGTAGAGAAGCAATACCAAGTAAGTTCTGAAGGTAAATGGAAAGTAGCTGAATTTTATCTCCAAAAAGGAACATGATCCTGGAAATACATTAAGTGCTTTCACTCTCTTAGAACCTAAGCATGTATTATTGGATTAAAAACAAAAACAAAAACAAAAACAAAAAACACAAAAAACAAAAACCCACACACCTAAAAAAAAAAAAGTGCAGCTTCATATAATGCCCGGGAAAAAGTAACCTGCTGTGCTTGCTGGAACAGGCTCAGCACTAAGAATAGAAACAGCACCTTCCTTTCTTTTAGGGGCTCATGTAACTCCTGATACTTTGCTACACCTCTTCTGTTCATTTCCCAGATGAGACTCTGGAGGCAGACTCGGAACAGGACCCAGGCAGGGCCCAGAGTCCGGCTTGTTTGACAAGGCTCCAATATCAAAGAATGGGCTGAAAAGAGCCCCTGCCCCAATCCTAATCCTGTGATCCAATATATACTCTGTTGCTGTTGATGCCACCTTCAAGCACCCTCTCCTCACTTCGCCGTTCTCTGCTGTCCGACTGTCCCCAGCAACAACCCTCCTCTTTCCTTGATTAGTCCTGGATATGAGCAAACATTCCTAGTATCTGGTTCCTTCAATAACTTTTTTTTTTTTTAAAGATTTTATTTATTTGACAGAGAGAGACACAGCGAGAGGGGGAACACAAGAACGGGGAGTGGGAGAGGGAGAAGCAGGCTTCCCGCAGAACAGGGAGCCCGATGTGGGGCTTGATCCCAGGACCCTGGATCATGACCTGAGCTGAAGGCAGACGCTTAATGACTGAGCCACCCAGGCGTCCCTGGTTCCTTCAATAACTTCTAAGTGCTGAGAGGATCTCTCTTTTTGCATGCCTAAAATGGTCCAAAATTATAAACAGGGTAAGAAAAAGAGATGATACTATTATTTACATTTAAGAGAATGTTAATAAAAACATCTCATTTCTGTATAGTACTTTCAAATATTGCTACACCATGTAACATTTAATGGGCCACCTCTTGGATTACTGGAAATCACTAGATAAGGATGTCAATAAACCACCGAGGTAGGAGCCCCAACTCTCTCTAGTTCACATGCAGTCTATGGGGAGGAAGGGAGAGAGAGAGAAAAAGAATCAAGTTCACAGTTTTGTAATTATAAACACTGAAATTAATATAGCCTCTCATTGGGCTGCAGTGGAGGTCCAACATGCCGTCTTCAAAAGGGCCACCATTTTCAACTGCCCATTTTAACTCTCTTTGCTAATAAGCAGAGATAACTAAGCTATTATTTCCTTAAAAAACCAAAGTCTAGCTGACTTGAACCAATAAATTGCCTTTGTCATTTCTCAAGTATTTTAAGATGGAATTCAGAAAGATACTAGAAATTTTATATTTAATCTTTGTTCTTTTTAAAAGTGAATTTTGGTATTTTAAAGCTAACAAATACTAAAAACTTAGCTAATAAATATGCTTGTTACAGAAAAACCTAAAATTAGGGTAAAAAGGGAGGAAATTATCACAGTCTGCCCTTTGAAAACATTAATATTTAATATTTCAGGGGATTTCCTTTCAATCTTTTTACTATCAAAGATTTATGGATTTCATAGAAAAAGAGGTCAGACTTTGCGTTACCAGAGGCGGAGGGTAGGGCAGGAAGAAGGGGGCCAAAAGGCCCAAATGTCGTTACGAGAGAAATGCGTCCTGGGGATTTGATGCGCAGAAGCTGACCACAGCTCTGCTGCAGGTGTGAGGAAAGTTGTGTGCAGAGTAAATCCTACAAGTTCCCGTGACAAGGAGGAATTTTTTTTTCCTTTTCTCTTCTTCCTACAGAATCTATAGGAGAAGATGGATGTTGGCTGAATCTACTGTGGTCATCATTTCACAACAAACCACTGTGCTCTTCACCTTAAACCTATACAGTGGTGTAAATCAATTACTCTGTAATAAAACTGGGGGGAAAAAGATCTACTGTTTCTGAATTTTTAACATGGTTACAACCGAAACCATATACTTAATTTCAAATCAAATTTTTATTTAAAATTATGACGTAAGCATTGTTCTTTATTGCTGTGCAGTCTTCAAAAGTGGCAGTATGTGCTGCCTGGCACTCTACTGAGTGAATATATTTATAATTTCTTTAACTATTCTCCTATTGCTGGACATGAGTTGCTTCCAAGTTTTCCCTAATATAAATAATGCCTACAATGTGCACTTCTGTTCACCAAGCTTTTGCTGTGCTTGGGATTATTTCCTGAAGATAGATTTGTACAACTGTAATTACTGGGGCCAACAGTACAAATATTTAAAGTCTTCTGATGCAATCTGCCAGCGCAAGCCATAAGGGTTATTTATGCCAGCTACAAAGGTACAAACGTACCTATTTCATTTCTCTCTTGTCAGTAACAGGTAGTACATTAAATCGAAACAAAGTAAAATCCATCCCCCTCCCGGAAGGAGTGATTTAGTTAATTTCTTTAACCCATTTATTTATCTATAAAATTTTTAAAAAGATTTATTTATTCTAGAGAGAGACAGTGTGTGCGTTTGAGTGGGGGGGAGCAGCAGAGGAAGAGAATCTTCAAGCAGACTCTCCTCTGAGCGTGGAGCCGAATGCGGGCTTGATCCCACATCCCTGAGATCATGACTTGAGTGGAAATCAGGAGTTGGACACTTAACCGACTGAGCCACCCAGGTGCCCCTAACCTACTGATCATGAAATATTTAAACACATACACAAAAGTAAGCGAAACCGGAGCCTCCACAGACCCCCGCCCCAAACTTCAACAACTACAGCTCTTAGCAAATCCTGTTTCACCTCCACCCCCACCTCCTTTTCCCTTCCTGTGTTACGTCGAAACAAGTAACAGCCATAGTACCATCATTTCATCTGTAAACATATCCTTCTGTGTCTCTAAAAGGACTCTCAAAACAAAAAAATGCAAGACTACGATGCCATCCCACATCTCAAGCAACAAGAATTCTTCAGTGTTATCAAAACTCAAGTGGTCAGGGTTCTAATTTCCAACAGTTTCGTAAATGCCACTTTTAAAAAAGTCTGCTTGTGCCAAGATTCGAATCTAGCCCACACAATGTGATTGGCTGACATGTCTTGTGAGGCTCTCCTAAACTAAAGGCGCCCCATCTCTACTCCCACCCCCCATTTTATTTGTTGAAGAAACTGGGTCATTTTTTTCTACAGCGTTTTCTGCAGTCTGGATTTCGCTGATGGCGTCCCCATGGTGTACTTCACATGTTCCTCCTTACTTTGTACTTCCTGTAGGTTGGCATGAGAGGAGATTCAGGCTTGAGGTGTTTTGGCACGATGAGTTCACGGGTGGTGTTATGGTCTACCAACGGGAGGTGAGCGAGCCTGGGTGTCTCAGCAGGTGGCGCTGGCAGCTGCTGACCCACTAATTCACCAGGGGCTTCAGCCGGCCACATGCCAATGTGATCGTTCCATCTCTGTTTATTAGCTGGGGCACTTTTATAAAAAAAAAACTTACCCCCATCTACTATTTGGCTACTCAGTGACTGAGGTTATCACACAGGAGAGGCAGGATAAATGCTCCATTCTTTCCCTTTATTTACCAGTCTTCAAAACAATGCATCGGTTCACTAGTTTCCTTCCAATGCAGACGGCTTAGTTTTCTACCCACCATTATTATAAACGCATGGATTTCAACACATTTGATGTATTTGTACCTGATATAATTATTAGTCTTATGTTCTTCCTGATGCTCACATTGCCCTGTGGCCCGTGGGCATCTCCTTGGTTGGGTCCTTTTGACACAGTCTAGTCTCTGTGACGGCTCCCTTGCTATCTGGTACAGGACAGTCCAGGTCGTCTGGTACAATTCCTGTCCAAGGTCACGAGTCAGCCATCTCCTCCACAGCCCTGGCTCTTTTCAGTGGGAAACGGCATTTTAGGACAATGGCCAGGGCAAGAGGGGCAAAGACTTTTGAAGGGTTAAAATTTTTGTTTTTCATTTTATGAATATGAATTAGGTCTGTATCCTCCTTTCCACCTTCCCCCTCAGTGAGCATCCCCACGGCTTGTGCCCCTACTAGCCTGCAGCAGTTTCTGGACAACTCCATTATCTCTCAAATTGGGAAACTCTATGAAGTTTGTTCATTTTTTTTTTTTTTTAAAGATTTTATTTATTTATTTGACAGAGAGAGACAGCGAGCGCACTCAGCAGGCAGAGGGAGGGGGGAGGGAGAAGCAGGCTCCTTGCTGAAGGGAAGCCCAATGCGGGGCTTGATCCCAGGATCCTGGGATCATGACCTGAGCTAAAGACAGACATTTAACTGACTGAGCCTGACCCAGG